TGTGTGTGTGTGTGTGTGTGTGAGAGAGTGTGAGTGAGTGAGTGAGTGTGTGAGTGTGTGAGTTTGTGTGTGTGTGTAAGTGTGAGTTATGTGCCCTAATTGTGCCCTTTAGGGTTTAAAATAATCTCAGGAGTTCAAAAACAATGTCTCCGAGTCATTCACGATATTTCTCAGAAAAGAGTCCATGCTGGAGTCACAGAACACATTTAAACTCGGTCATGCCGTAATCACCAGTCTTTTAGAGAAGTGTGCTTCTGAATGATTCAACTGACCTTAAAACACAAAGTGAATCTTCACATACACAATCAAAGCAGAACAAGGGTTTCTGACACTGGACAGACAAATGAAAGCAGTATGTTGGACACTCAGTGGGCACCAATAATAATCACAGTGTGTCAATAAGGCCATCTAGTGGTTGAACTCATGCAGCCGCACAACTCACACATCGTATCAAATGAGAATTTAGGAAATTACACTCTTAAAAATAAAGGTGCTTCACAGTGATGCCATAGACATCCTTACCTTTTTTTTTTTGTCTAAATGGTTCCATAAAGAACCTTTAACATCTTGAAGACCCTTTCAGTTTCACAAGAGCATATTTGCGGTGAAAGAAGGTTCTTCAGATTAGAAAAAGGTAAGAAAGAAATGGTTCTTTAAAGAACCTTTGACTGAATGCTTCTTTGTGGAACCAAAAATGGTTCTTCTATGGCATCGCTTGAAGAACCTTTATTTTTGAAGAGTGTGCAGTTACTGTTACTATTGCACATTACCAGAAACTAAACACTGCCAGATCACCATATTCACTGTAAGTCTATAGAGTCGAATATTCCTGATCTTCTTTCACGTTATGTTGAATATCTCACTACTAGCACATTTTTCTGTCAATTATGGCAATTTTGGCAAAACTAAAAGAATATATTACCCCCCAAAATGTAAATTCTGTCTTGTTTGCTCACCCTCATGCCAAACTCGACTCATATGCTGTTAAAAACATTACCCAGCGCCAAAAATGCCTTATAAGCATTATAAACAGCATTCCATACGACCTGTGCGCTATATTTCCAGTGTTCTGATGTCATGCACTCAATGGAGTACAGACGTTCATTTTGAGTATGTATTTTTCTTTCTTTTTTATGCATTTATACCCAAAACAGAGAACGTTCTCAGAACTGTTATTAACATTCTGGTAAGGTTCTCTCAAAGTTATGAACAAAATGTTCTTCCAGTCACATTAATAAAATGTTTATTTAGTTATCTGGTCTTTAATAATGTTCTCATAATGTTAGCACAAAAACATTATTTATATGTCTTTCATGGAGCGTTTTTGAAATGTTACTACGTCTTTCAGAACGTTCAGAGAACATTCAAAAGTAACATTCCTTTAATGTTTTCAAAATGATCAAATGGAATGTACCTTTAAAGGGATAGTTCACCTAAAAATGAAAATTCTGTCATTAATTACTCACCCTCATGTCGTTCCAAACCTGTGAGACCTTCGTTCATCTTCAGAACACAAATTAAGATATTTATATTTTGATATTACAGTATGCTTTAAATAATTTTGTTACAAAATACATAAAATAATCATAAAAAATGTGTTTATATAGAAACTGTCAAAAAATACATTTCATAATAAATATTGACATTACTTACAGTATGCTTACATATGGTTAAAAAATACATAAAATGATCATAAATCATAAAATGTGTTCAAACTTTGTCAATAAAATACATTTTATAATATATTTTGAACAGTATATGTATTTATTCATTTTTTCATATGTGTTCATATACAAACGCAGTCAAAAAATACATGTTATAATATATTTTAATTTAGAACTGCTTACACAATATATATATATTTACAGCATGCTTCAAATAAACTTTGTTAACATTTATTTATTTATTTATTTATCATAAATCATAAAATGTGCTGATATACAAACTTTGTCAAAAAATACATTTGATAATATATTTTGATATTACAGTATAATTTTGTTACAAAATACATTAAATAATCTTTTTTTTTTTTTTACTTATAAATGAGACTACTACAACCAGAAAGATAAAATCATTCAAGTAATGCTAGAGAAGAATATCTGTAATATCTGCAAAACAGTAGAGAACGGCTTTTATTGTACTAAGATTATAAATTATTAAATACGTCATTATATGTGCAAGAATTCCAAAATCCTTAATCACTTGAATACTAAAATACTCATTTAATTTTAAAGCACAGCCGCCACTAAATCAGACTTACTTTGAGCAAAAAATACATTTTATAATATATTTTGATATTACAGTATAATTTTGTTACAAAATACATTAAATCATCTTTTTTTTTTTTTTACTTATAAATGAGACTACTACAACCAGAAAGATAAAATCATTCAAGTAATGCTAGAGAAGAATATCTGTAATATCTGCAAAACAGTAGAGAACGGCTTTTATTGTACTAAGATTATAAATTATTAAATACGTCATTATATGTGCAAGAATTCCAAAATCCTTAATCACTTGAATACTAAAATACTCATTTAATTTTAAAGCACAGCCGCCACTAAATCAGACTTACTTTGAGATAATTCTGAGGTTAAAAACTGATTTAAAACCATAACAATAAACAGTTTAGTAGCTATGATATTGTTTTTGAAATCAAATCTTTGTATAGCTATGACAGAAAACACTGGCATCTGACAAAAAACAGTTAATCTTAATAATAATAATAATAATAAAAGTATATACATAAACCCAAATAGGAAATAAAACAGTTATCGAATAAGCATGTGTCCTATTGTGTGTCCTAAACTCCTGAAACACTGATGTCTCATATATTAGAGCAGTCGATGCAATTTATGAAAGAAATCAATTAAATCTGCATGTATTAAATCAGATGTAACCCCCTTTGCAATCATTAACATTTTCATAAGTAACTATAATTGATTACATATTTTTCTCAGTAACTGTAACTGATTACAATTACATTTATTTAGTAATTTATTTAGTTACATGTAACAAGTTACTTCCCAGCGCTGTGTATGTTTACGGTGACTGAGATTGAGTGGTACTGCGCCTTTAAGAGAGTCGCTCGGCTGTCGCGCACATTGTGTCGATATACCGGTCCGCCGCTGTCGTGTTGTGCTTTTATTCTCGCTCTGTACACTAATGTCTGCTCATTCCGCCGAAGAGTCGTTCCCGTTCCACGGGCTGCTTCCGAAAAAAGAGACCGGCGCTGCTTCGTTCCTCACAAAATTCCCGGAGTACGATGGCCGAGGGGTGCTCATCGCGATCCTCGACACCGGGGTGGACCCAGGTGCCCCGGGCATGCAGGTAAATCGAGCCCGCGGCTGCGGTTCATCACTAGGCCGCAGTCGGTTTTCTCCCGTTTAAGGGACCACAAATACTAGACGTTACCAGAATTCCACTGTCATAACTAAACAACGAAGCACTAACACATGTAAAGTAAATCAAGCTGAATAAAGCTGTTAAAAACATAAACTACACGTTTGAAAGGACAAGCTGTGTCATCCTCATCAACGACTCTCGCTTACAAAGGAGTATACCACAGTTTCTTTGTGTTTCTAAGCAACATTATATGAGAAAACACCATGATAAATTAATATAGTACTCATTTATCATGTTAGACATCAAAGAACCATTATAAATGACAAAGGCTGTGTTTCAAAACCTAGCGTGCTCCCTACATAGACAACATTATAGTGCTGTCTATGTAGGGAGCTCGCTAGGTCTCAAGGCACAACTAGTTAGGGCTGTTTTGTGTGCTATAGCTAGTGTTCACCTAAAACACATGATGGTTGTGTTGTGAAATTAATCTGTAAGCGGATCCAGCAGCTGTTTTGAGCTCTCACTCATCTGTGTGATGTCTTGTTTCTGTCTTTTTTGGTCGTTTTACTTTTTTTATTTTTTTATTTATGACCCTGCAAGAAATATACATACTGTAACAATAGAACACCAGAACAGGTATACGAGCACTCACCCTTCCATACATGCATGCATGTTCAATTTACACTTAAATAAAATAAAAACAATGAAGAAGAATGACTCTGTAATGCTCATATGGCAACACTTTGGATCATGTGAGCTGATCTGTGCACTGATCATTTATCATAATATACAGACTGTAGCTTTCAAACGCATCCCGCTGTGAATCTGATATGATTTGTCTGACTCCAGACTGATGCTGAACTGTGTCTCATGCTCTTTCTCGTAGACTACGACGGACGGGAAACCCAAGATCGTGGACATCATTGACACGACGGGCAGCGGCGACGTGAAGATGTCCAGTGAGGTGGAGGTGAAGGATGGGCTCGTGACCGGACTGAGCGGACGCACGCTCCGAGTAAGAGAAGCACATTTATATTAAGAGACGCTGTCATTCATCACAGTTCACACAAGCTTTCAGATGCTCCGGTTACTAAACTGTATCTGTGTGAACAGCACAATAACATGTTTGGGTCTCGCGTTTCACCCTAAAATCAAAACAGAGAAAATAAGAGGATTTAGAAAATGCAGCCTGCTTCATTATGACGTTTTCTTTTTCATTTTCAATGCAAATATACTCCAAACACACTTTCGAAGAAGTTAAGTCAACTGTAAATCCAAAGCAAACTTCTATAGGTTTTATAAAAATTCTCTTTCATAGTGTTTCTAACTGAAAATAGCCAGGGAAGCTGGCATGGCGTTAAAACACAAACCAGTCATTCTCTCATTACTTTGCATTGTACCGAATGTTTTACTTTTTAGGTTTAGGTTCTTCTTATTCCCAAAGGCGATTCTCATTTCCTAGTGCAATATTTTCTGCGGTGGAGCTGTATTTTAAATTATTTTCATTAATTTTAAATATATAATACAAAATGTAAACAATGTAATTTTTGTCATTTAAAAATATTCCCTCATGCATTTTTTTAAATTCTACATGCATATTTTTATATGCATGTATAAGTTTTAAATCTATATATCTATATTTACCTATATATATATATATATATATATATATATATATATATATATATACTACTGGTCAAAAGTTTGGCATCAGAATGATTTTTAATGTTTTTTACAGGAGTCTCGTCGGCTCATCAAGGCTGCGTTTATTTTATCAAAAATACAGGAAAAAATTTAATATTGTGAAATATTATGATGTAAAATAATGTTTTTCTATTTTAATATACATTCAAATCTAATTACAAAGAAAGAATAAAAATGTACTGACCCCAAACAGTAGTGTATATTGTTAGAAAAGATTTCTATTTTAAATAAATGCTCTTCTTTTTAACCACACACACACACACAATAAAAAAAACAACAACAACAAAAAATCACATCAGGGATTGATTCACAGTCATCTGTATTATAATATCAAATTGTATAAAGGGGGTCCACATCTTATTAAATACATATACTTTGCCTCTAATTCTGTATGTTAAAAAAATTAAATAAGAATAATTTTTAAAGATATACATTACTTTAAACTGGGGCAAAATATGAATCAGACATGTTCTCATGGCATTCACTCCTCTATATTATTTTAATAGCCAGACCGTAGCGTTTCAGTAGCACTAAAGGTTTCCCGTTTCTCTCCAGATTCCTGCTGCTTGGGTCAATCCGTCTGGGAAGTATCACATCGGAATAAAGAACGGTTATGATTTTTTCCCTAAAGCTCTCAAAGAGAGAATACAGGTAACGCGTGATTATTTGTCAGCGCTGATGTTATATGCGCAAACAAATGCATGTTTTGGCTTGTTTATTCATAATAAGTCCGATGTCTGGCGGTTCAGAAAGAGCGTAAGGAGAAGCTGTGGGATCCAGCACACAGAGCAGCTCTCGCTGAGGCCAGTCGCAGGATAGAAGAGTTTGACCAGACCCACCCAAACCCATCACAGGTCAGACCGCTGCTGCGATTTGCATGCTCGAATAAAAATAAAGCATGAGAAAATAAGGTGTTGTTGCACGGTGCTTTCTGATAGTTTTGCATGTTGAATATGGCTTAAAATAATTGTGAGTTTCTGTTGTCAGATGGAGAAGCTACAGAAGGAGGAACTACAGTGTCACGTGGAGCTGTTAGGAGCCCTGGAGAAGAAGTACAGTGATCCAGGGCCGGTTTATGACTGTATATCGTGGCATGACGGCGTCACATGGAGGTCTGAGCATTTTCCAGCTTTAAAGGAATAGATCACGCAAAAATGAAAATGTGCTGATGATGTGCTCACCCTCAGATCATCCGAGATCAGGATGAGTTTGTTCCTTCATCAGATTTGTGGAAATGAAGCATTGCATCAGTGTCTCTGCAGTGAATGGGTGCCGTCAGAACGAGAGTCCAAACAGCTGATAAAAACATCACAATAATCCACAAGTAATCCACAGCACTCCAGTCCATCAGTTAACATCTGGAGAAGACAAAAACCGAAACTAATCCAGCATTTTAACTAAAATACGAGTCCATAATCCATAATAACGCTTCCTCCAGTGAAAAAGTGTTCTGGTGTGAATCAGGAGAGCTAACAAACCATACATCAATGGAAAGCTTATTTATTCAGCTTTTAGATGATGCATACATCTCAGTTTCGAAAAATTGACCCTTATGACTGGTTTTGTGCTCCAGGGTCACATTTTCAGTGCATTAGTAAGATGATTGTGTGTGTGTGTCAGGGCTGTGGTGGACACGTCTGAGACCGGAGACCTGTTGTCATGCACCATCCTGAGCTCTTATCGAGAGCGACAGGAATACGCCACACTGGGATACGCCGAGATGCTCAATTACTCCATAAACATCTATGATGAGGGAAACACTCTGTGTATCGTCACCAGCGGAGGTGAGACTGGTGATGATAATTAAATGTATATTGTAAATGCATATCATTAAGAGGCTTTACACTGATCAGCGTGTGTTTGCAGGGGCTCATGGGACGCATGTCGCCAGCATCGCAGCGGGTCACTTCCCCGATGAACCCGAGCGGAACGGTGTCGCTCCAGGAGCTCAGATCCTGGCTGTGAAGATCGGAGACACGCGCCTCAGCACAATGGAGACGGGCACCGGCCTCATACGAGCTGTAAGACATCAACACTCACTGACACATCATTAAAGGATATTATAGGATTTATAAACGTTTATAAAGCGAATAGTTCCAGTCCTTGATTCTGATTGGCTGAGCCAGGGGGACACCAAGAACTCCTGAATAACGGTTGCTTTATTGATTGTGTTATTTGTGATCTCTGTTTGCAGATGATTGAAGTCATAAACTATAAGTGTGACCTTGTGAACTACAGTTACGGGGAGGCGACTCACTGGCCAAACTCGGGGTGAGTCTCTCACTGCAAAATACACGGCCGAAGTCAAGTCACGTGTATTTCTGTAGCTTTTATTCTCATCGAGTGTGTCACTGCAAAGTTGACTAGTTGCTGGATTGTTCAAACCACTTGTTTGCTTGCTCGATGGAACGTTATGAACTTTAAAGGGGTCCTATTGTGCTTTTTCACTTTTTCGACTTTAGTAAGTCTGTAATGTTGCTGTTTGAGCATAAAAAAGATCAAAGTCCACTTCAAAAGGAGATATTTTATTTAACAGAAATCACTTTTCAAAAACTACACACTGGCCCGGCTAACCAATCACAGCACATTTCGTGTTTCAGAAGGCGGGCCTTCATTTGAGACAGGAACTATTCGAGCCGTTCATGCCAGACTGGGGAGAGAGGTGTTGTAATAATGTAAAATATGTGAAAAATGTGTTTTTCGAACAACCTAGTAGAGAGCCTGTTCTAGTACACCCCCAAAACAAAATCATTACATTATGATTCACGTCTGTGTGTTCTTCAGGAGGATCTGTGAGGTCATCACGGAGGCTGTACAGAAGTATAATGTGTTGTTTGTGTCGAGTGCTGGGAATAACGGCCCGTGTCTGTCCACCGTGGGCTGCCCCGGAGGAACCACCAGCAGTGTGATCGGTACCGGCCTGAAACACACTTCTACAATTCATTATATCAATATTGCCACAGCATCACACACAAAACAAGCAATGACAAGAAATATAACAATAACTAACGACAACTTAAAATTAAGAATAACAAGATCTGCACATGATTTGCAGACAAAGTAATTCAGTTCATTTGTGCCATTGTTTTAGTTCATTAAGATTTTTACCTTCATTTTACCTTCACGTGAATTTTACCTTCATAAATTGTGGCCACATCGTTCTATGATTTACTAAAACAAATGAATCAATTGTGACCCTGGACCATAAGGGAAATTGAGATTTATACGTCATCTGAAAGCTGAATAAATAAGCTCTCCATTGATGTATGGTTTGTTAGGATAGGACGATATTTGGCCGAGATACAACTATTTGAAAATCTGGAATCTGAGGGTGCAAAAAAATCAAAATATTGAGAAAATCATCTTTAAAGTTGTCCAAATGAAGTTCTTAGCAATGCATATTACTAATCAAAAATTAAGTTCTGATATATTTACGGTAGGAAATATACAAAATATCTTCATGGAACATGATCTTTACTTAATATCCTAATGATTTTTGGCATAAAAGAAAAATGTATAATTTTGACCCATACAATGTATTGTTGGCTATTGCTACAAATATCCCCCAGCGACTTAAGACTGCTTTTGTGCTGCAGGGTCACATTTAGTATGATATAGCCACGATTTACCAAAACAAGGGAACGTATGTATAAAATAGACATTTATCAAGACATTATGAAGAAGAAGAAAATATATACACTACCGGTCAAAAGTCTGGGATCAGAATGATTTTTAATGTTTTTTTACAGGAGTCTCGTCGGCTCATCAAGGCTGCATTTATTTGATCAAAAATACAGGAAAAAATGTAATATTGTGAAATATTATTATGATGTAAAATAACATTTTTCTATTTTAATATACATTAAAATCTAATTTATTCCTGTGATGCGCAGCTGAATTTCCAGCATCATTACTCCAGTCTTCAGTGTCACATGATCTTCAGAAATCATTCTAATATGCTGATTTATTAT